AAATCATTATTGTTTTCTTAAAAACACATAAAATCGTATTATAACATCAATAAAGACAAATAATAAAATAGAACATTAAAATCGAGATTTTTCTCGCTGCATTGCACGAGTACTCTTCTAGTATTAGCTTATTGAAATATTGCTTTAGTAATATATATTTGAAAATAATTTCATGAAACTTTTGACACTTTTTTTAATTATGTCTCTTATCATTAATGATTATTAATTACTATAAATTATTAATTAATTTTAACGGATTAGATTGTTTCATCTTTGTTAACCGATCTCATTCATTCAAATCTCCAAATCAACGGATTAGATTGTTTAGTGGCAATGTTGTAATATTTAATCATGAAACACACCTTCATTTTGGGTATAATAAGTGAACAAGGGGTATTTTCGTAAAGTTGTAGAAGAAGTTGGTTTAGGAAACGTGCGTTCATTCTGGGATATTGTTTATTCATACAAATTCACAAATGAATATCTTTGTAAGAGATTCAGTAGAAAGAAGGTTCAAATATGAACATGCCTTCTATGCATAATGGATGTGACTCTGTTTATAGTGTTTACGTATGAAGAAGACCTATATGCCTTCATGATTCACTTATGAACATAAAAGAACACAAATTACTATCATAACTATCCTTAATAATTGTCATATTTATCTTCCCTAAAAATATGGAAATGGTTATATAACTGCCTATTAAAAAAATAAATAAGTTATAAAGTACAAAACTACCCTTACTCATTAACTAAGACGGGTGATACAACATGGAAAGGATTTGGCATTTGATTGGTCCATGTTGGTTTGTAGAGTTAACAAAAAAGGTTGAGAACCGTAAGGACTGATCTAAGTCCTAATATGGTTTTGATTCAAAGTTGTTTTTTATTGGAAAAATGCATCCTCGTCATTTTGGTAACAGAGATTCATCAAATGAAAAAAAAATACTCACCAATTGAATCATAATAAAAATTATTATTTTTAATAAGGTTAATAATGACAATATTTCATCTATATGTTATTTTCACCTCAGGACCTCAAACACAGTTTTCATCTATATGTTATTTCACCACATCAAAACAAACACAATTCGCATATATATTCTATTTCACCTAATGAAATCAAACACAAGTTCCGTCTATATGGTATTTCACCCCGTGAGAAATAAATCAAATGGTTGAATTAAAAACTTCAATTAAACTCTAAATCTAAAATTTAGGTAAAAAAAACAACCACAAGAAACTCAGGAAAATAACCAGATCTAGGTTAGAGAAAGATGCAACAAAAATACAGATCTTTATAGAGGGAGAGATATGTAGCTTGTGGTCTTGACAAAAATCAAGAACTAGAGCTCGATGGTTCTTGACATAGAGCCAGATCTGTGGTGGATGCGGCTAGAAAGCTTCAAATGATTGTTACCGATTTTAGATCTAAAAGGGTAATCTGACAATGAGATGGAGATGGAGGTTTTGATTGGTTTGATTCTAGGTTCGAGAAACACCTTTATATCAGATCCCATTTATGGGTTCGATGCACAAGGGGGAGGGAGTGATGGTGGTTTTTCAAAGGGAGGGAGCGGACGATGAGCTTCGTGTGCGATTGAGATGCAGGTGGCGCAAGTGGTGTTGGGCACTAGAGTTGGAGTGTGAGTCTAGCCCATAATACCCTTTTAATCTATTTTATGGGAGAGACTAATGGCACCCCTATGCATAAGTTTAATTATGATTGTTTTTTTTAGGGGTGTTCAAAAAAACCGCCGGACCGCTCAAACCGGCCGAACCAAGTCAAAC